CTGTAGGAAACAAAGTACAGTTACAAATCATTGTTATAATAATAATAACTTTTGTAATTGCCCACGTGTTTACCTTTAGTGAGATCTTTATTTTTCCATATGGCTTTGAGTTATTGTCTAGTGTCCTTTCATTTCATCTTGCAGAATTCCTTTGGACATTTCTTGCAAGCAGGCTTAGTGGTCATGAACTTCATCAGTTTGTTTATTTTTCAAGATTTTATTAATTTATTTGACAGTGATAGCACAACCTGGGGAGAAACAGGCTGGAGAGGGAGAAGCGGGCTCCTTGCTGAGCAGGGAGCCCAGTGACAGGCTAGATCCCATCATGGCCTGACCCAAAGGCAGACAATTAATGACTGAGCCACCCAGGTGCCCCTAAATAAATAAAATCTTTATAAAGAAATTTAAATTTGTTTGGAAATGCAGAGGACCTAGAAATAGGGCTATCTTGAACAGTGATGGTAGGGGGTTTGCTGTATTGGATGTCAAGACATGTAAAATGACCACATATAATACAGGGTGAAACTGGCTTGGGTATAAAGTAAATAGGTTAATAGAATGGATTCAGACATATACGGACACTTAATTGGCAGAGGATTGTGGAAAGGATGATCTTTTTAAATTGTGGTAGGCTCATTGAATATGGTAAAGAGTGAAACTTGTTTATTCACTATACATAGGAATAATTTCTATGAGATTATAGACCTAATTGTGGAAAGCTGAGCAATACGACTTTCAGAAGATAATACAAGAATATATGTATGATCTCATATTAGGAAAAGATTCGTTTTTCAAATGTTTGTTTTCAAGATTTGTATTTTCTTTTTAAGATTTCATTTGTTAGAGAAAGAGAAACAGAGTACAGGCAGGGGGAGCAGCAGGTGGAGGGAGAAACAGGTTCTTCCTTGAGCAGGGCCCTATGTGGGACTTGATCAGGGTCATAGGATCATGACCTGAGCTAAAGGCAGACATTTAACTGACTTGATCCAGCCAGGCGCCCTGTTTATTGTAATTGTAAGTGCCACAATAACAAATGTACCATAATGTTGTATCATGACCAAAAGGCATATTGAGAACCCAGGAGACATTGATAATGTTAGAGGACCTTGGTGAGATAATATTAGGAAGCATTTAAATAGAAATAAGGGAATACCACTCTTCTTGAGACAGGTTTCTGTTCTTGGCTTCTGTGGATATTCACTGTTCTGGCTCTCCCCTTAATCCTGCCTTTGGTAGCTCTTTTTTTTCTGGGTTTTAGGTGAAGGGTAGGAGGATCCCTGGTATACTGTGAAGGGGAGCAGAGAAGTACAGTAACTTTGATCTCTAGCAGTATAAAGGAATCAAGTGCACAGTGGGCTAATAAAGTATAAGGAATTGGTTTGTTGTTCTTGCCTTTGTGTGGAGTTAGTCCATTTTCATGGCTTCAGATGTAGTCTCTGCCACAATGACAGTTCTAATTTTTTTTTTTAAGTTCTTACTTATTCATTAAGTAATCTCTATGCCCAAAATGGGGCTTGAACTCCTTACCCAGAGAGCAAGAGTCGCATGTTCTTCCACCTGAGCCAGCCAGGTGCCCTGACAGTTCTGATTTTTATTGTGTGCCTTGTTTGATTATGTTGCTGGCACTTCAGTTTTACATGTCCTAAAGAGAACTGAACTCTATCCTTCCCAATCAACTCCTTTCATGAACTCCCCTATTTACTGGAACACCATTTTCCCATTTATCCACAGTTGAAACTTTAGCATTGTCTTCGATTTCCTATGAGGGATTAAGATGTCTTAAAGTATTTTAAGAGGTTTTCTTCTGAAGTACTATATTGTGTATTTAGTAGCTATTATTTTCAAAAGAAAAAGTTGAAAAGGGACTTTTACTTAGTACAATCCTTAGCTTATGGAGGCTTAGAAAAGCCTTAATGATTGAAAGAGGTCAAAGTCTATAGCTTTGTCCTGAAGGCAACTTTACTTCTGTAGTAGAATTAATATGTGTATGAACTAATTAGCAAAACTAGAAAATAAATCTGTTCTCAGATCAGTAGTAGAACCTCTGTTAATACCCACCTCCATTGTGAGGGTGTCTCTGGCTACCCTTTTAAAAATGCAGCACTCTCCCCTCAAAATACATAGTTGTACATGCTCACTCACTATACATTACTATTTATTTCCTGTCTCTGCTTTTTTTTTTTTTCCTTTCCTCATAAGTACTTAACACAATCCAATGTATTTTCCTCATTTGTCTGGTTTATTGCCTGTCTTGCCCTCTTCCCCCAACTTAAGTGTAAGCTCCATGAAGGCAGGGATTTTTGTTATTCTTGGCTGATGATTTTAACTGCAAAGTCTGATCCATCGTAAACATTGGAATATATAAATACTGAGGTGTTAGAGGCCTTTGTGAATTATGTGAGTAAATGAATTAGGTTATAAAAGTTGGACGGTAGATGTTTCCCAAAATTGGGTTTGCCTCTTGCTGCTTGTTCAGTCAAAAGACAAAATCAAGCCAAAGAACAGGGAAAAAGAGTAAGGGTTTTACTTGCTACCAGTAAGGAGAACATCAGGACTATTTCCACAAGCAGTGTCCTCACGAACAACAACACTGTGAAAGTTTTAAGCTGAGGGCTATTCAGGAAGGGGCGTGACTATGGAGAGTTCTATATAGAATGGGGGCAAAAGTCATCCTGGTTGACAGAATCCAGGTCCTAGTTGATTGAATCCATGTGGGCCAGCAAAGGTTGGCATCATCAGTTCTCTGTTCCAATTAGCTCACTGTTGGAGTGCTCAGAAGGTTTTGAATCCTGCAAAAATGACTCAAGAATGTATGATACGTGTTAGGTCATTGTTTACTTTTGAAACAGCACTGGGAATTTTATTATTGATTGATTGTCTTTGATAGGGTTAGGCTAATTCCTGGTCTGGTAGAGACTTAGTTTTTGCATTCCCTCTGTTCTCTTAGAATCCTTAACTGTGGAGGTTTTTTTTGTTTTGTTTTGGGGTTTGTGTGTGTGTGTGTGTGTTTGTTGTTTTTTTGTAATTCCCACACCTAAGCAAGTTCTGCAAGAAGTGTGCTTGGGCAAGTAGTACAGGTAGGAGATAGAACACATAATGGCTGGGGGCCTAAAAGAACTTCTTGTGTGTTAAGACAGCTATGACTGGTCTTTTTTTCCCCCTAGGCATCCCTAACCCTGTCTGCCTACACAGAGAGTACTAACTAGCAGAATAATTGGGTCAAGTACTTTCAAGCTCTGAACATTTTTTTCCTATTTTTAATCTTTACATATTTATTCTCCATTTTGTGGTTATTCTCTGAATGATGTTAGCCTTAGGGACCTTTTGGATAAAGTTGTTCAGTGGAGTCTTACTTAATGTTCAGAGCAAATACACTTTATGAAGTCAGGTTGCAGTTTTGATGCAGCTTTGTTATGATAATTAAGCAAAATATTTGAATTAAATGTGAATGCTACTCAGTCATATTTTATGTGACTGTAGGCAAAGATTTTGGATTTTAGGCTTAGAACCAGCTAAGTCCTCTCTGAGGATTGACCATTAAAATGCAAAATACAGTCTTTGTTTCTCTTCAGCTGTCTTCTTTATGGGAATGGGCAGTTTGCTTAGAGAATGAAGCCAGTCACCTCTTAACCTAGATCTTCTTCCATCTCATTTGATTAAATAGTAATATTTAGTATTATGTCGGGGCGCGTGGGTGGCTCAGTGGGTTTGAGCCTCTGCCTTCGGCTCAGGTCATTATCTCAAGGTCCTGGGATCGATTCCCGCATCGGGTGCTCTGCTCAACAGGGAGCCTGCTTACCCCTCTCTCTCTGCCTGCCTCTCTGCCTACTTGTGATCTCTCTGTCAAATAAAAAAAAAATATTTAGTATTATGATTTCACTGCTTTTCTATTGATAAATTTTTTGCTCCTATGCTGAGTTCAGGCTGTAGTTTTTTTTTTTTTTTTTTTTTTTTTTTTTAAGATTTTATTCATTTATTTGAGAGAGCGTGCACGTAAGCGCATAAGCAGGGGGAAGGGACTGAGCAGGGAGCCCGATGCGGGGCTCGATCCCAGGACCCTGAGATCATGACCTGAGCCGAAGGCAGCGGCTTAACCCACTGAGCCACCCAGGCGCCCCTGTCTGTTGAATATATTTTGTTGTCAGAGGGCAGCAGTAACAGCTGTGTCTCTGGAGCCAGACTGATGGGCTTTGATCCTGGTTCTGCCTCTTATTGTTGGACTTCTGAACCTCAGCTTCTGCAAAATAGGAATAGTAATGTTTCAAGGGCTATTTTGACAGTTAAATGAGTTAAAACATACTGTGTTTAATTAAAACAGGTACATGGTAAGGCTAAGTAGATACTTGTTGTTTTCATTTGTAAAATAAAAAGTGTAAGGGCACCTGGGTGGCTCAGTCATTAAGGGACTGCCTTTGACTCAGATCATGATCTCAGAGTCCTGGGATTGAGCCTGGCAGGGAAGCCTGCTTCTCCCTCTCCCACTTCCCTAGCTTGTGTTCCCTCTCCTGCTGTCTCTCTCTCTGTCAAATAAATAAATCTTTAAAAGAAAAAAAAGTGTAGTATACAGTGATTATCTTTTCAGGATAACAGAGAAAACCTTTTCTGATCATGCTAAATAGCATCTCCTGTTAACTCTTCATCCTTTACCCTCCTATATTTTACCATATGGCACTTACCATTTCTTGATATTAAAGGTTAAGTTTGTTTTCTCCTACTGGAGTATAAACTCTGTGAGGGTAAGAACTTTGTATTATTCATAGTTGTGTTCCCTCTGGTGCCTAAAACAGTATGTCTGACTTATAATAGGAATTCAACAAATATTTGGTTAATAGATGAATAAATTAAGGTATATGATGGCAACTAAAGGTTTTTTAGGAGGCATCTGTTAGATCGTTTTAATGAGTTACTGCTTTCTGTGAGGGAACACATTTTGTTTTGGCAGTGCCTCTGAACTTTTGTTGCCAAAGTCACTTAAAATCTTATCCGTCTCTTTTGTTAAGCTATATGTGAAACAGAGCCTGAACAGCCTGTTCGACATTACCCGTTATGGGTGAAAGTAGAAGGTGAAGTAGATCCAGAGCCAGTTTATATCCCAACGCCTTCTGTCATTGAGCCTATGAAGCCATTGTTGTTGCCTCAGCCAGAAGTTTTACCTGCTACTGTGAAGGGCAAAGTGCTCACTGGAATTAAACCTGCACGGGCTTATACTCCCAAACCCAATCCTGTGGTAAGCCCAGAGTTTCATCTTTTGTTGCAAGTTACAAAAGTCATTTGTAAAGATAATGGATTTCAACCAGATTTTTGGTTTGTATTCTGTGAATCATTTTGCTTTTAAGTAATACACCTGTAAGCATCAATCTTTAATTAGCTTAATTGCTGGCACTTTAAATGTCATTAAAAGTGGAGTGAATATACTAAGAATTCCTACTGTTTTTAAGGATAGCCAAATCTCTCTTCAGGAAGATCATATAAAGTTGTGTTCAAAAGTGTTTTAAAGATCCTGTTCTTACTCCTGTAATGTAGAATATTGAGTAATTGAGATGTAGTGCATACATATTTTTAGTAGGAAAGCATTCGGAAAAGTTTTAAGTAACTCATCGTTTTAAAGCTGACTTCTTTATATACAGTAACAGTAAAGATTTAAATAATAGTTGATATATGACTATGAAGATTGATAGGTAAAAGAGCTGATGCTTTTTCTGTTAAGAGCTTAAGCATTTCTGATGATTAAATCCGTTTCAGTCTTAAAGATGCCTTAGTGTGGTGCTATTTGATGTGGTCTTTGTGCTGATCCAAAACTACTTGTTACTAGGATATGATGAAATAAATAAAGAAAATGGGAGTCACTATTTAGAAACTTTTACAGATACTTGATAGAATAATTTTATATGTATTAAACCTAATACTAAAATACTTGGGCTTGTATTTTACATGTCTTTTGTTTTTCTAAAAACATTTCACAAAAGGATCAGTCTGTGTTGGATTGGTAATTCAGAAATGTGTCCTCATTGCAGATAATTTGAGAAGCACTGCTCTGATGTGACCTGAGATTTCTTGGTAGAGAACCAGATCCTTTCTGACTGCCCAAGATTTAACACATATTGATTCTACTCGTTAAAATTTGCATTTAAAAATTTCAAATGTTGTAATAGAGATAAAGATGAAACATTCTTTTCCTTTTGGAGTCTAGAATGTTTTTTCCCCCACTGTATTGAATGTTTTGTTTTATGAAACTTACAGATTCGGGAAGAGGACAAGGATCCAGTGTACTTGTACTTTGAGAGTATGATGACTTGTGCCCGAGTTCGAGTATATGAACGAAAAAAAGAGGAACAGAGACAACCATCACCATCCCCATCCCCATCATTTCAGCAGCAGGGCTCATGTCAGTCTAGTCCCGAGAACTGTAGTGTAAAGGTGATTTACTTATTGCCTAATTTGTCTTTTTAACTTCCATTTCCCTGTAGCTAGTATTAGAATTTACATCACTATCAGAAAAATTTGGAGTCATTCTTGAAGGGCAGAGAAATGTCATGTGATGAGTGTATCAGTTTGTTTCTCTGCATACTTGTTTTAGAGAACAATCCCTTAAGGTTATTTAAAGTACTATTCTTTCTGAAGCTGAAGTAATTTTTAAAAGTTTATAAACATTTCTGAGTTTTATTAAATCATTTTTCTGTGATTATTAGGATTTGTATCTGCATTAGTGAGTTTTCAGATTAACTGAAGCTTGTTCTATTAAACATCGAATTTTTTGCCTTCTTTACTAGAATACACTACGTATAAAGTGTGCTGTTAATTTTTTTCTTGGTGACTCAGTTACTGTCAAGGACATTAGAGAGCTAGGCTGTTTGTTTTTGCCAAGGCTTATATAATATGATAGTAATGCAGCTGTGCATATAGATGTGAAGCTGTTGACACTTGAGTCTTTCTGCTGTTTCAGGCTTCTTTCAGAGATTCAATGTTTATGTCCTAGTTTCTGTTGGTAATTATTTTGTGTTGAAGTATTTGTGTTATACCCTTCTTTAGGAGCCTGATTCTGAACAGCAGCCATTGAAACCAGTCACCTGTGACCTAGAGGATGATTCTGATAAATTGCAAGGTCTGTTTGAAAATTAAGTCTTAAGTCATTTTATAGTAATTATGGGACACACACACACACCCGAAACATTTTTACCTACCCCTTTTCTAGCTTCTTCTAAAAATAGAGATGATAGAGAAGTCTTTTCCTATTATTTGGACTGTTTATCACTCCTACTAAAAAATAAAATTCATTCATGTTGATACGGTATGTTATTTCATGAGACACTTAGGATATGGTTAATGATTCTCTCTCTTGTTTTTTTAAGATTTATTTATTAGAAACAGTACAAGTGGGGGGCAGGGGCAGAGGGAGAGAGAGAGAGTCCTTAAGCAGACTCCCAGCTGAGCGTGGAGCCCAATGTGGCGCATGATCCCAGGACCCCGAGGTCATGACCTGAGCCCAAATCAAGAGTTGGATGCTTAAGTGACTGAGCCACCCAAGCATGCCCTCCCTTTTTAATGGCATGATACACATGAAAAGTGGTATTATTTTTATAGCATATTGAGGTATTTGGGGGAGGCTGCTGGGGTAAAGAGAACCTGTCTGAGAACATAGCCACCTTGAAGGCTGAGGGTATCTATATCCTGACATACTTGTAATTAGCACAGTGGTTGGGAGACTGTGCTGTAGAAATCAGTGAAACAGACATCCAGTTAACACGTTGCTATGAATATAAATACCTGGTGAGCTAAATAATCTGCGCATAATGTAGAAATGGAGCAGTCATATCTAGTGTCACAGAAGTAATTCAGAAGTATTTGCAGTAGAAACTAGAAGTAGAATACACTTTTTAACCACAATAGTGGTTAAAAATAGTCTCTTGTTCTTTAGGATTGAATCTAGCTATCACATGTTACAAAGCGTCTTGCAAGTGTCTTTGCTTTTCCTGTATGGATAGCAGAACACCAAACTATATCAAATCTTAACCTTGGTTATAGGTCATGCTTTGTTTGCAAGGTGTAACACTTTCTTATATAATAGTTATGGCTTTTGGAGCAGTCTTAAAGTGAGACTCTCTTTTTACTAGTGACCCCAAGCAGCAGGATATCCTATTATAGTATGATTCTCTGGAATATTCCTTTTTCATGGAAAAGTCCCAAATTGTGAGTTGTTAAATTACCACTGGAAGTACATGGGATTCAGACACTGGGCAACTGCTCAATTTCTGTGCTGTTGGCACTTTTCTGAGAACCCAGGGAAAATAAAAATCTTTTAAAGTTCAGTACAAAATGCTATGATGCAGAAATATCTTTCAATTCCTTATCAGAGAAAAGCTGGAAGTCTTCCTGCAACGAAGGGGAATCCTCTACCTCCTATGTGCATCAGAGGTCACCAGGTGGTCCCACCAAACTGATAGAAATCATCTCAGACTGCAACTGGGAGGAGGATCGGAACAAGATTTTGAGCATCTTATCCCAGCACATCAATAGCAACATGCCACAGTCACTTAAGGTGGGCAACTTCATCATTGAGTTGGCTTCTCAGCGAAAGAGCCGGGGTGAGAAGAACCCTCCTGTTTATTCTTCTCGTGTGAAAATCTCTATGCCATCATGCCAAGACCAAGATGATATGGCTGAGAAATCTGGATCAGAGACTCCTGATGGTCCATTATCCCCTGGGAAAATGGATGATATCTCTCCTGTGCAGACAGATGCCCTGGATTCAGTGAGGGAGAGATTACATGGAGGCAAAGGTCTGCCTTTTTACGCAGGGCTTTCTCCTGCAGGGAAGCTTGTGGCCTATAAACGTAAACCCAGTTCAAGCACATCTGGGCTTATCCAGGTGAGAATTGCCTTTAATCTGGATGTAGCACCTTTTTCTACTTAGGTAACATCTCGATTTTTCAGAGCCCTTTGTGGGCCTTATATCATTTATCTTCACATTTCCTGGGAACTGGGTGACAAAACCATCTCTTTTTGTAATAGGCCTAGTTTATAAATGCATACCTCGAGTAAATTTTTGACACATTTACAAACGAACTGTGGAGCCCTATATTAGCTTATGATTTTATTTCTATCTTCTCAAAGTTCCTAACTCTCAAAATTTTACTGCTTGGTCTCTACTGATACTTTGACAACTAGACTAAGGAGTTCCATCTAGTTCTTGGGATTATTATTAATAAGTAGCTTTCAAAACAAAACAAGGTGAAATTGATTATAAGATAGTAGTATATGGTTGGAAGCTTAGAGAAAATTTTAGTTTTGCAAGGTGTTATTGAAAAGTATAAAACTTCTAAAAATTGCATTTTTTTCTTTATTTGGTCCATAGTAGGGTTTTTGCTAACATGATGATTGTCATAGTACAAATAAATCCTTGTTGTTTAGTAATTTAGACAGGTTATATTAGTAAAACTACACCGGCATCTAGAAAAGCCTTTGGAAGGAGAAGTTTTGAAGTAAAATGTAATTTTAGTAAAAAGGTTTTCTCCTCTTGCTCAGTGATATTAAATGCACTTTTATGTCAGAGTAGCAAATGGGTGGAAGTGTCTGACATGCTTGCTAAGGTTACTTGACTTTATTAGCTTGACCACTTCTCTGGGCTGTGGACTGTTCCATTAATATGACTCTTTGACTCATCTACTTAATTAAAAACTTTTTATTGCAGTTTATTCTTGATGGTGCTATGTAACTGGTTCTGTTGGTATTTCTTTTTCTTTTTTTTTTTTAAAGATTTTATTTATTTATTTGACAGAGAGAGAGATCACAAGCAGGCAGGGAGGCAGGCAGAGAGAGGAGGAAGCAGGCTCCCTGCAGAGCAGAGAGCCCGATGCGGGGCTCGATCCCAGGACGCTGGGATCATGACCTGAGCCGAAGGCAGAGGCTTTAACCCACTGAGCCACCCAGGCGCCCCTCTGTTGGTATTTCTTGAGGGGAACAGTGTTTTCTTATTTCATTTATTGTTTGATACTTTGAGAACAGAGACTGAGAACTGAGCTCATTTCTAGTGAGACTTGGGGACCCCCCCGCCAAATACAGGTTTAGAAATTTGTGTTCTCTCCTGTCTAGGAAAGCCACAATAAAATACGATTTTGCCTAAGCAGTCAGGCCACTGTAATGTAGGCTTTGGGGAAGCTGCTGAATAGTCTTCAGAGCAAGCCCCAAAGGAGAAGATGAGGTATTTTAGACCTCCAGAGACCCTGAAAAACTACAGTAAACTTTCCTTTAGGTTGGAAAGATCACATTCTTTATATCAAACTCGAGGCAGAGATATTCCTGATCTATCTGGGAATAATTGTGGTTTCATTTAAGTAGTAAAGAGTAATTTTTGTCTTTGAGGAGAGGTTGGCTTGCTGTAGCTATTCTCTTTACCAGTTTCCTATTACTTTAGAGAGTAGGGGTTTCTCCACCACACTTCACCCTCTCCCCCTTTCAGTGATGGAAAGGAGGAACAGAAAAGGATGTCTTCTCTAGTCACCCAAGAATAGGACTTTGAGGACATGGGTAAGAAATTAGAGAAGGTTTTTTTTTTTCCTTTCCTTTTTAAAAAAACAATTGTGCAGTCCCAGATGGACAGTGTGTCAGCTCAGGCAGTAGAGAAAAATCCTTACCTTATTTATTGATTACTTGTTCTGGTGGCCAGTGATTGTTTCTAAAGTTATAATTGAGTTTCTTCTAGCTTTTATCTTGAGCTCAAGTTTTGTCCAAGACATAACAGTATCTTCAGAGTTGAGTGTTTTAAAGACTGAAGGGGACCTTTTGGCTTAGGATATTATAACAATGGCTTTCTTGAAACTTAAAAGTAGATTCACCATATATTTTTCAAATATGAAGGATGCTTGAAGGGACCCTTGAGAGGGCTTAACTGTGCCTCCTTGGTCTTGTCAGAGAGATTCTGTGGAACACAGCTATTCATTTTTTGGTGGTGATTGTTAATAGTTTAATCACAATTGCTTAAGTAAAACCGTTGGATGATTCCTTAGATTTGACTGTGCCTCTCACATATCTAGGAGCAGATATTGATGAACTAAGGTAGTCTGTTTCCAAACTACCAAAATGAAGATGAGATTAGTTCAGAATATCAGATGGCAGCTTTTTTTTTTCACCTTCTAATATTCAGATTATGTATCAAATGGAAAAAGTCCATTTCTTTTTCCCTTTAAATCTGAAGAATAGACCTTTAAATCCTTGTAAAAATGAAACCCCTGTCAAGGGAGATAAGTTAGCAAGAGAATTTTATCTTTACAGAATTTCTCTTTGCCACTTGTTTCAGGTTAATGGTAAGAGTTACCCGCAGGCTAAGTTGCTATTGGGACAGATGGGGGCATTGCATCCAGCCAATAGGCTAGCTGCTTATATCACAGGCAGGTTGCGACCCTCAGTCCTGGACCTCTCAACCCTCAGTACTGTCATCTCCAAGGTAGCATCCAATGCCAAGGTGGCTGCATCCAGGAAACCACGTACCCTGTTGCCTTCAACATCCAATTGCAAAACGGCATCCTCCTCTGGCCCTACAACAAATCGCCCTGGGAAGAATCTGAAGGCATTCGTCCCGGCAAAAAGACCGATTGGTAAGTTGAACTGTATATATATTTTAGAAAGGCCTGTGCCTTGGTGCTTGGCCAGTGGATACAAGTATAGAGGTCGTGAAAATTAGAGAAATATAGAATTGGCATTGTTCTTATTCTTGATGGCTGTCTTTCCTGACCTTGTCTGTTTTTGGTAATTCTTCCTGACCACCTATGATAGTAGATGAATTGAACTCTAGTTAATAGTTAATTTCCAGACTTTTAGACTGGTTTTATTAATATAGAAAAGCCTTAGATTTTTAATTTTGTTTTTAAAAAAAGGAAGACTTACTCTTAAATACTTTACCTCATTTAATATTTCTTTTATGGGCACTGGTATTTTTGTAACCAGTCATATATATGTTCCTTGAACTTATGAAACCAAGGAGCTAGCAAATCCAAGGGGGTTGAGTTTGTGTAGTATAGGCTTAGAATAAAAAGCTCTTGAAAAACATAAGTTGGAAGTGTTGCTTTATTCTATTCATCCTGTTCTGTGAATGAAAACCTCATTTGTTTAATATTTCAATGCTGGAGTCTGTAATAAATTACCTTCTGAAAGTATTTTGTGTTTTAGCATTACGAGTATATGTAGTCAGTTTATTGAATTCTTCTTTTTGTTGTTCATATCTGTTTAGGACTATAAGTGTCCATTGCTGTATTCTTATTCCTCTGATGGGAAATTGAAATAATCCGGCTGAATGCTGGAGTTATATGAAGATGGAGGACAAGCATTGTATGCCTTAAAAAGACCCCATTTTACCATTTTTAAAGTAGCTTTAACTGGTGATTTTAAGTCCTATCCTGCCCTCTTTTGAAAAGTGTCTTTATACACTTCAGAAATAATGTAAAACTTAACTGTCTCATAAGAGGATAGCAGTTACAAAGAAGCGGAGGTGCTGGGACAGGAGGAAGTGGTGAAACAAGTTTTTAAAATCAGAGTTAGGGGAAGAAAAATCTCCTTACGACGTTCTTCACTGTTTTAGATGATGAAGTTGTGTGCTGCTATATTGCCTTTTTAGTGTCCTGGCAATTTGGCTATATTGCACAGTCAAAAGAATCTTAGTAGGAACACCCAGTTTTAATCCCTTTCATAGTATTATAAAGGTTTGGTTTGGGTTGAGAGAAGTGTTTGATTTCTGTGGGTGGAAATTGGCACATATCATGCAGGTAGGTAGTACCTGTAAGAGATTGACCCAGTGGTGCACAATAAATGTTGATAAACACAATCACTAAGAGGATAAAATATGAGAACTGAAGATATTTGACCTGCAAATTTTTATTTGCAGCGGCTCGACCCTCTCCTGGTGGTGTGTTCACACAGTTTGTGATGAGTAAAGTTGGAGCCCTGCAGCAGAAGATACCTGGAGTTAGCACACCCCAACCCCTAACAGGGCCACAGAAGTTCAGTATCAGACCTTCTCCAGTAATGGTCGTCACACCTGTGGTTTCTTCTGAGCCAGTTCAGGTGTGCAGCCCTGTGACTGCTGCTGTCACTACTACCACCCCTCAAGTGTTTTTAGAGAATGTTACTGCTGTGACACCTATGACTGCTCTTTCTGACGTGGGAACTAAAGAAACTACTTATTCTTCTGGTGCCACCACTGCAGGGGTTGTTGAGGTTTCTGAAACTAATACCAGCACCCCTGTAACACCTTCCCAGTCTACAGCCACTGTGAACCTTATCAAAACGACTGGGATAACTACCCCTGTGGCTTCAGTTGCTTTTCCTAAGTCTTTGGTAGCATCTCCTCCAACTATAACTCTTCCTGTTGCTTCCACTGCCTCCACCTCCATAGTCGTGGTGACCACAGCTGCATCTTCCTCCATGGTGACCACACCAACTTCATCTCTGGGCTCTGTTCCCATTATACTCTCGGGAATTGATGGGAGTCCACCAGTGAGCCAGAGACCAGGTAAGGCCTAGATGTTACTAGCTGGTTTACCTACCATACAACTGTTTATATCACTTACGGTTTGGTTAGGATTACGGATATATCAGGGTAACAGTGTAGGTGTTTCTGCTGTAACATAATACATGGATTCCTGAAAACCTTGACCTTCTGCAAAACTGAAAACTGAAAATAATAGACCTCAAGGTTAATAAAGGGTTAGGACAAGTTACTAAAAATCTCTGCAACTTTGTAACCAGAGCACTGATAAAAATCGTAACTGGTACTTTGGAGATAAATTGAACAGCCTTGACAGATGGTTTAGTGTGGAGCTGGAGATTTTCTGAGGAGATTAAAAATACTCAAAAACATTATAATGGAAATACTGGCTGAATCTGAAATAATGTATGGGAGTGGAGTTCTGAGCCAGTAGAGCCGTCAAGATGGGCACAGCACGAAGTGTACTTCTGTGTGCTGAGAGCTAGGTCTGTGCATCTCTGAGGAGGGAACCCAAATGTAGGGATTCCTTTCTGGGGGGTGGGGGTGGGGGCTGTGTGTGCTTCTTTTTATTTTTATTTTTTAAAAGATTTTATTTATTCATTTTCCAGAGAAGAGAGCATGTGCACACAAGCAGGGGGGAGCCGCAGGCAGTGGGAGAAGCAGGCTCCCCGCTGAGCAGGAAGCATGGTGTGGGGCTCCATCCCAGGACCTGGGATTATGGGATAATGACCTGAGCCGAAGGCAGATGCTTAACCGACTGAGCCACCCAGGCGTCCCTGTGTGTGCTTCCTTTTAACTAAAAAAGAGAACAGAGGGCTTTTGCCATGCTACAGCCAGGCTAAGGGCTTTTCTCTCCTTGCTGAAGATTAAGACTCTAGGTCCTTTTACCTAGTAAAAATCATTTGTGAATCTGACCAACTCCCGTATACTACTGACATTATCCTTCTATTTATTATTTTGTATGAACTGATTGAGATAGAAATAAGGAGGCATATTTCTTTGTTTAGGAATCTGTATGTTTATCAACTTTTCAGTTAAAGTTTTTTTGTAGGCTTATGTTAAGTGAATATAAAATAGGAATATCCTACACTTGGCTAATTTTTTATATCCTAATTCAACCAGCTAAAATAAATGGTTCTCTTAATGTACTCAGAATTACTATGTAAGGGTGAGAGACTTCACAGGACTTAAGGGGAAATAAGTAGGCAACAATAATTCTTTGGTTATTGATATTTTTCCTACTAAGTATTTTTGCATTTAGTGACATAGTCCAAATCTCTATCAGTGTTTTAGGAATGAAGTGATTTGGGAGTTAGTTTAAAGGTGAAGGTCTTTCCAAAGGATAAATGAATCATGGATTAAATTTGTTGTCTTCTGCTTCTCCCCATATATAAAAATTAAAAATGATTAATATGCAGTTTCAGAACTGAGATTGTTGTTGATAAAGCCATTTTGATTTCCTATTGGATCTCAAGGTTTATATCTTGTCATATTTTAACTTGAGATTTTTCTAAAAGATATGGATTCCAACCCTTTTCTTTACTTCTGTCATGAAGCTATAAAGTAGTTTGTTTAGCTTTTTGTGGTTTGCTGTTTCTCAGATTTCAGTCACTTGGAATATACATTCAGGTATTTTGCTCTGATTCTCATTTGTACTATTATTGACTTAATATTCTTATTTAAATAAACTCCTTTGTTTGCTTAAATGTATTTTTAAAAGGAGCTATTTTACTGTAATTGGAAACCAACATTACTTGTCGTAACAGAGGTTTACTCCATAAATAAATACATTAGAAACAATAATAAAAAGAAATACATTCTAGCTAGCTACCATGTTAATATGTAGCTTGCACTCTGTTAATGAAGAAACCTAGAAAATGCTGATGTAATATCAAAGACTAGTATTTTCTTCTGTATATAATCAGAAGATTAAAATGGAAAAAGAAATTACTTTCTGACAATATGATATGGTGATATACTATATCCATATACCATCTAAAAATATCTTCTGTAATACCACTTGAGGAAATACTAATGTTAACAGATTTTCTTAACTGTTCTTTTTAAAATGGAGCTGACTCTGGTAACTTCTAAGTGTGTGTAATTTTGTTTTAGGTTCGTAAAGAGGATCCCAACTTGGGTACTTAGACATCTGTGACTTTTTCATTTAACTTCTTTTTCCTTTCCCTTCTTAGCCCTCACCTGCATGTGAATAAATACTTGCATATTTTGTGTGTCTGTTAAAGGTTGCTTTCATTCTGTGAATTAAGAGGGCTTTGGGTTTGACCCACTCTCTAAAATGTTCTTTGAATAGAAATGTTCAGGAAATTAAGAATGCTTTAACGTGTTTCTTAATTCATATAAGGTGGATGTTTTTTATTTAAATTGCACCCCCCCCAACAGTTTGGTCTTCACATTTTATTTCACTTTCAAGAGTAGTTCTGGATCTTACATACAATTTGTCATGTAAATGTTAAGAGCATAATTTCCTTTTAGAAGTTTGATATGTTTTGTGGGTAGAGTACTTACCTGATAGTGTCACATGTTAAACTGATTCGTTTGGTTTGTTGATTTTTTTTATTTAGCGACAAACTAATGAAAATATTTATTAATAATGTTAAATAAGTTCACTAATTTGAATGGTAATGTTAGATTAGTTTCATTTCTGCCCAACATCACCGTTACTCCTGCCTTTTTATCCCCGTGACCAAAAATCTGTCTGTAGATTGTTCGTATTATTATTTTTCTCTGTCTTCAGTATTTCTAAATATCTCTTCCAAACATTGAAGTGGGACTTTAGGTACAATTAATGATTTGAAATTTTTTAAAATTCACATCTTTTGCATTAAATTTTTGCTTTTTCTGTTTGTTTTAAAACTATCTTTTGCCTCTTCCTAACCAGGCTTTATTTCCCTGCTTCTTTGATGTCTCTTAATTTCATTCCATTTTTTGGGGGTATGTATTTTTTTTTTTTTTCTTCTGAAAAATAATTTCCACAGATCTTTACGCTTTGGTTATTTGTCAGTGTATTTTAAAAGCCAAGGAGTTTTTTATGTCTCGCAATTTTTAGTCCTTGACTTTATCTTACTTGAGTATGACCTATGAAATGAAGTCATAATTTTAGTGTTAATGACCTGAATTATAAGGTTGAAGAAGAGCATTTTATCATGAATGATCTGTTTAATGAGAGTCGAGATTTAGAGGCCTGCCATGTTTTTCATGAGGCAGAGGCATTATCTCTTTAAATGCATCTCTTAACAATTGATGCTTTTTTTCCTTCTTTCCTTTTTTAACCATTCTGAGCGTAAGGTCCTACAATGCCTTGATAATTAGGTTTTAAGATAAATTGTTCTCAGCCATAGGACTATTAAGTAACGTATGATAGAGGTACAGGATTTCACCAACTGTATAATTCAAATTAGAAATTATTTATAGTGTGGTCAGATCTTATGTCCTTATAGTTTTTCCTATATGCATTAAAGTGAACTGATACTATGTTTCTGTTTTCTGTTTTTCAGAAAATGCCCCTCAGATTCCAGTGGCTACTCCTCAGGTCTCTTCTAACACAGTGAAACGTACTGGACCTCGATTGTTGCTGATTCCAGTGCAGCAAGGTTCTCCTACTCTTAGACCTGTTCCAAACACACAGCTTCAGGGGCATCGGATGGTCTTGCAGCCTGTTAGGAGCCCAAGTGGGATGAATCTATTCAGGCATCCTAACGGGCAGATTGTTCAGCTCCTCCCCTTGCATCAGCTTCGAGGCTCTAATACCCAGCCCAACTTACAGCCTGTTATGTTTCGGAACCCAGGTATAAAACTGGAGGTCTTTCTGATGAGTTTTTCTTTTGTTGAATCATTTGGCCGCATGGGATGTTAATACACCAGGATTTCTTAGTCTCTTAGAGTTAACCTGTCAAAAAGAAAAGCATACCTTGAAAGTCTTTATACAGGCAGTGATAATTTAAAAAAAAAATTTTTTTTTTTCTTACCAGGCTCTGTGATGGGGATCCGGTTACCCACTCCTTCCAAACCTTCAGAGACTCCACCATCTTCTGCTTCGTCCTCTGCTTTCTCTGTTATGAATCCTGTAATTCAGGCTGTTGGGTCTTCTCCAGCAGTGAATGTTATCACTCAGGCACCATCATTGCTTTCTTCTGGACCTAGTTTTGTGTCTCAGTCTGGTACACTGACCCTGAGGATTTCCCCTCCTGAACCACAAAGCTTTGCAAGTAAAACAGGTTCTGAGACCAAAATAACCTATAGTTCAGGAGGGCAGCCTGTTGGTACAGCCAGTCTTATTCCTCTCCAGTCTGGTAGTTTTGCTTTGTTGCAGCTCCCTGGACAAAAGCCTGTTCCCAGTTCCATTCTTCAACATGTTGCTTCTCTTCAGATGAAAAGAGAGTCTCAGAGTGCAGACCAGAAAGATGGAACAAGCCTTTTAAAAAGAGAGCAGGATACTAAGAAGGCCCTACAGTCAGAAGGAGAAGCTATAGATTCTGGGGCTAATGTAATAAAGCAAAACTCTGGGGCTGCTGCGTCAGAAGAAATCCTGCATGATTCCTTGGTAGATGGGGGTGATCATTTAGATGAAGAATCCCTTACAGAAGAGGGTCCTATAATTGTTAAACCTTCTCAGCACTCCTGTACCACTGGTTCACACATAGATGAAGACTATAAAGATGTTGATGAAGAGTATGGGATTAGAAATCATAACAGTTCCAAAGAAAAACTGACTGTTCTAGAAGTTAAGACCATTTCCAAAAAAGCCAGCAATGTGACAGTCCAAAGTGTAAGTAGTATACAGCTTAAAAAGCTTGGTGATGTGAAAGTGGAACAACAGAAAGGATTAGAAAATCCAGAGGAAAAATCAAATGAATTTCCAGTCATCTCTAAGGAAGAAAGTAAACTCGAATTATCAGGGAGCAAAGTTGTGGAGCAGCAATCTATTCCACAGCCAGAGGCCAAGGAGAAGGGATGTGGAGACTCTCTGGAGAAGGACAGTATTAGGGAGAGATGGAGAAAACACCTGAAGGGCCCTCTGACCCAGAAATGTGTTGGAACTTCACAAGAATGCAAGAAAGAGGCAGATGAGCAGTTAATTAAAGAAATAAAGACCTGTCAGGAAAATTCTGATGTGTTTCAACAAGAACAAGGCATCTCTGATCTACTTGGAAAAAGTGAAACTACTGAAAATGTCAGAGTTTTAAAAACTGAATGTGATTCTTGGAGTAGGATTTCTAGTCCTACAGCCTTCTCCAGTGTTCCGAGGAGAGCCACAAAAGGGAGCAGAGGGGAAGGACATTTTCAAGGTCACTTACTGCTGTCAGGAGAACAGATACAACCAAAGCAAGAGAAGAAGGGTGGGCGAAGCAGTGCTGACTTGACTGTTTTGGATTTGGAAGAGGAGGATGAGGAAGATGAGAATGAGAAAACCGATGATTCTATTGATGAGATTGTGGATGTTGTTTCTGACTACCAGAGTGAGGAGGTTGATGATGTAGAAAAGGTGGTGAGCCCATTTTTGTTGTGACTGAAACCTCAAGAATTTAAAATGATTTATTAGAGACAGTAGCTTTTCCAGAAGATCACTAAGACTTGATACATTGATTTGGATGCCTAGGTTTAGATCATGATTAAATGACTTCATAGTTTTTAGGCTATGTCAGTCAAGTAACATTTATTGAGCTTATATTGTTCTTTGAGATGTACCTGCTATTATGGAAAGGCTGGCTTATGCCTTTGGGGGATAGATGTTTGAGAGTGCTTTCAAGTTAGGTTTAAAAAAAAAAAAAAGAAATCCTGAAACTCCTGCTCCTATTTGTGCTCAGGTTTTTTGTTGGTTTTGTTTTTTTTGTTTTGTTTTTGACATTTTCTGTGTGAAGCCTGTCTGGTAGCTACATAAAGAACAGGGAATGGGTGGACTTACAACTAGAGGAGAACTTACTGCTTACATTTAGAGAAATGTTTCTCTTTTTGGAGAAAAATGGAAAATACCATTTAATATTTTATTATCACCCTGCCCTAAGTTGCTTTTAAAGTATTTCCTGAAATTAAATAGTTTCTAGAGTTTATGTTCTAAACTTTGGTCATTTTTCTTTGTAATATGACTTTTATAATTTTTACAAACATTTTTTCTGAAGCCATTTTTCTAGACTTCCTACTTAAGATTGTAACCCTATCTAAGTGAGAAGCATATAGGGCAGGAGTTGGACAGACTTCTTCTGTAAAGGGCTGGATTGTTAACATTTTAGACTTTGTAGGCTGGATGGCTTGTTGTTGGTAACTGGTTGCTGTTACAGCATGAAAGCAGCCATAAACAATAGTAAGTGAAAGAGTGTGGCTGTGCTCCAGTAAAACTTGTATTTACGAAAACAGATGGCAGGCTCTCGTATGCTGACGCCTGACAGTGGGGTTTGATGTAAAACATAAGGAGATTGTAGCCAGCTGCCTGGAGGGTGCCCCTAAATCTAAATCCTGTCCCTCTCACTAGGAGCAGATAATATGGCCCTCTGAGGTGATCATCATGCAGTTGGTTTTTTGAATCTCACTTCATGAGATTCAGTCTCTGTGTTACCTGGTCCTTCTCTGTAAATGCCTAACTGCCTTATACAGATAAAATAGAACAGGAAGATTAGTATTTTAAAACTCAAAAATGTTTAAGTATTCTAATGTTCCTGTGTTGGTTATTTACCTCGGTTGTCTCATTTGTAAAATGAGGATCTAGCTCTATTATTAGAGGATTCTATATACATTTGCCTTATATTCTATTTGTAGCCTCATCTACAGATAACCTTTTGAGGTTTTTTGAGGACAGATAACCTATGGGTAGCTGAAGAATCTGAATTCATTGAGTTTAAGAGTTAGATTGCAAGATCTTCTTGTGCTTTTTGCGGAATCTCCCATTGTAAGTCAGCCTGGGTAAGCATCAGACCAAAGACAGTCCAACCTTAAAACCAGTGAAAACTGTTGCTCTCAGTAGAACTGACTTAACAGAAGCTTTAAAGTGTCTTAATCAAGGGATTGGATTTCCTAATAGGGAATCTGCCATATAAGGTACAGAAACCTTTTTAAAAGTACAGGCATTATAGTAAATGATCTGTAAAATCTAAATTCTGCACTGTATTTCTGTACCTGTCCAACATATAGAATATTTTTGTGCATGTGATTAGCATTATACTGGAATAGTTTAAGGAAAGTAGTGAGTAGCCTCTTTAATCTTCCATTGTGAAGTTTATTGTATATTATTTATAAAGCCTTCAGTTAAAGCCATGCTGTAGGCAGACATTCTTCAGTTTAAACACCATAAAGCATCTACCTACATTATAATTCAGACTCTTTAGAATCTGTCTACTAGTTAGTTAGATTCTGTCAACTCTTTTGATTTAGCTTCCTAGAGTTAATATATATTGTTCACATTGCTTAAATTTAATAGACATTGTTTGAATTGGGGACCATAATTGATGGCTTGCATTTAGTGTCTGTCAGCCTTATGGAACCTATAATTCATGGGGGTAAGTAATTTTTCCATCAAGTTTAAACAGAATTAATAAGGTGATTGGGATGCTTCATTTTAAGTTGTGCCTCTCAGGTATAGTACTGTTATAAACAGATAACATATTTCCAGTTTAGTTTCTGGCATAGTAAACACCACTTTTAAAGGTGGACTTAAGTATATCTACATATTCCATGATTTCTATATTCTGCTGTTAACATAAAATAATACAGTGAGTTTCCATGACAGGTGCTCAATAAATGCTCACTGATAGACTTTTTTAAAAAAATTTTATGTGTTAGAATGTGCATGCACATGCACGGGCATGAGTGGAGGAGGAGCAGAGGGAGAGGGACCAGCGGACTCCGAGCTGAGCGTGGAGCCCAATGTGGGGCTCGATCTCACACCCCTGAGACCATGACTTAAGCTGAAATCAAGAGTTGATTGCTAAATCGACTGAGCCCACCTGGGCAGCCCAACTTTTTTTTTTTTTTTAAACTGTACAGTAAAGCAAGTACAGTAAGTTTGGGCTTTTTTGGTATCTGAAATTCCTCAGAAGCTTTCCTTGTGTGCGATTAAGAGGCTTAGAAGACTGACTCTGGGCTATATTCTGTTTTCATATCTTCCTTGAGTGCATTTTTGTGGGTATGTGATAAGGGGTTAGCCATGAAGCACTCGTAAAGTAGAACCTGAATTTTTCTCCTTTCCCCCTACTATTCACGAAATTTTACTTCGCTGCTATTTAATCTTAAGATTTATGAAGCTTTAATATATTTGTACCTGAATTTTGTCCACTAGAAATAACACTGAAGCATATACAGCCCTCTGGGGACTCTAGTGATGTCTGTTCAGTATGTATCTATGATTTCTAATGTAGTGCTTGGTTGTTAGCTCTAACCATATGTTATCTTCTAACTCATTCCTTCTTATGACAAACAAGTTTGGGATCATCAGTATTCATGGTTTAAAATCAATGTTTGGCCCTGGTTGGTTTTATAAAGGGAGTATTTGGTTGGAAAGTTTAGGTATGTTTGTTTCCCAATACTTTATTTACTGTTGGATTGCTTTATTTCAGAATAACTGTGTAGAATACATTGAGGATGATGAGGAACAGGTGGACATTGAGACTGTAGAAGAGCTCTCTGAGGAAATTAATGTTTCCCATGTGAAGACCACAGCTGCCCAAACACAGGCTTTCAAACAGCCGTAAGTCTTAATTTGTCTTTGGATTTTTGTTTTTTGTTATCGTTGTTTTGTTACCATAAACAAAATTAAATGTTCTGTTCAAGAGCTCTGGATAACTGACCTAGTTCCTTCATTCCTCTAGCTTTTTTCTGATTAGTAGGTGGAGGGGAGCTGGAATTCAGAGGTAATTAACTTGCCTTGGTTATTGCTAGAAGACCATGTGTGAATGTGAATAACCTATGCTTTTGGAGCCTGACACATGGGTAGTAAAATAGTAGTTCTGTTTGTAGCTGTTTAACCTCAGGCAAGTCTTTAATCTGAGTCTTAGATTCTTTACTGTGAAATGAGGAAAATGCCCTTAATTTGAAGTATTCTATAAGGTAATGTATGTGACTAGGGTAACTGACACAAAAGTGGACTATTCAACAGAAGTTAGTTCCTTTATCTTTTAAGAATAGGCATTAAATTCTGAATTTGGTTACTGTATTGGTTAACAGGTGAGATACAGTTGGGAAATTTTTATGTGTTCAGATGAGATGAAAATAGAGTATGTTCAGGGAAATTTATTCCATTTTCTGTGTTAGTAAACCTTGTAATTTTTAGGGATTGGGGTGTGAGAGATTGATGGAAATAAGATAGAAGTCCTTATTTTGTGCCAGATGTGCTTTTCCTGTTATCTTTTTAACCACCATGTAAAAGAGTAATGAGTTCAGAAAGAGTAATTCTTCATCCCTGATGATGCTGAGAAAGTCTCAGGATGGGGACATAGGTCTAATAATTTTCTTCATTCCAGAGCTATTTGGAGGCTCTTTCAGCTGCCTGTTGGTTAAGGTCGAAAGAGTTTAAATCTTTTAACAATGTAATTAATTAGATTTAAGGTTAGCAGTATCGCTGAATTATGTTGATTATACTAAAGTTGATTTTTCTGAACAATAGCAACAAACAAAAAAATGCCATTTATAATAACAGAAAAAAACATTATTTGGGATTATTAACAAAAGCTGTGTAAGATTTTTATAAAATTACTGTAGGACATTGAAGATCAATTCAATAAATGGAAAGATACCATCTTTTTACATTTGTTTTAATTTTTAATTTTTTTATTAACATATAATGTATTATTAGCCCCAGGGGTACAGATCTGTGAATCACCAGGTTTACACACTTCACAGTACTCACCATAGCATATACCTTCCCCATTGTCCATAACCCCACCACCCCTCTCCCTCCCTCCCCGCCAGCAACCCTCAGTTTGTTTTGTGAGATTAAGAGTCTCTTATGGTTTGTCTCCTTCCCAATCCCATCTTGTTTCATTTATTCTTTTCCTGTCCCCCAAATCCCCCACATTGCATTTCAACTTCCTCATATCAGGGAGATCATATGATAATTGTCTTTCTCTGATTGACTTATTTCGCTAAGCATAATACCCTCTAGTTCATCCACATCGTCGCAAATGGCAAGGTTTCATTTCTTTTGATAGCTGCATAGTATTCCATTGTATATATACACCACATTTTCTTTATCCATTCATCTGTTGTTGGACATCTAGATTCTTTCCATAGTTTGGCTATTGTGGACATTGCTGCTGTAAATATTCGGGTGCACGTGCCCCTTCGGATCACTACATTTGTGTGGAAAGATACCATCTTAATGGGCTGGAACAATAAAAGGGTCAAGAATAACCAACACAGAAAGAGGACAGATTGCAAAGGAACAGATTGTTAAACATTTAAAAATTTCTCTTACTACACCATGAAAACCGTGAAAGGCAAATTAATAGTATAAGGAAAATATTTGCAGTACATGTTTGACAAAGGATTAGTATCAATGATATAAAATAATTTTTTAAGTCAGTAAGAAAAAGATGAGGGGATAGGTAAGTATATAATGGATATCATAGGCAGGTCACAGAAGACGAAACCTGGACGACCAGTAAACACATACAAATTTGTTTAACCTCACAAGTATTTAGGGATATACAGATTAAACCACAGTGACTTCATTAGTTTACATCCATAAGATTGGCAAAAGTTGTGATTTCTCATAGTACTGTTGTGTCTAATTGTGGAGCAGTTGGAACATACTGCAGGTGGGAGTGTAAATTGTTAAAACCATTTTGGAGAGTAGTGTGATATGACTGAAGTTGACTTCCACATCTTCCTTCTAACCAGCAGTTCTACTCTTAGGTATATATAACCTGGAAAAGTTGACACATAGGTACAAGGGGCCATGTATGGGACTATACATTGCAACATTGTTTGCCATTGAGAAAATTGGGAAGCAACCTAAACAATTATTAGAATTCTGAAAAATAAATTTTGTAAACTTCATGCTTAGGGAACATTATATAGCAGTTAAAATGATTGAACTAGAACTTTGTCTATCAATACCTCAGATGTAATGTTGAGTGAAATCAGATGAAGATATACCGTAATATATAATGTTCAAAGTGCTACCCAGTATTTTCTATTTAGGGATATGTACATTCCTAGTATAACTGCATAGATATGCAAGGTAAAAACTCATTTTGGGGGCACCCAGGTGCCTCAGTCGGTTAAGCCTCCAGCTCTTGATTTTGGCTCAGGTCATGATCTCAGGGTCACGAGATCGAGCCTCACATTTGTCTCTGCACTCATTGCTGAGGCTGCTTGAGATTGTCCGTCTCCCTCAGCCCCTCCCTTCCATTCATGCGTGCTCTCTACCCCCTCTTTCAAAATAAATAAATCTTAAAAAAAAAAACAAAAAACAAACTCTCATTTTGAGAGTGTTCACCTACAAGAAAGAAGAGAGGAAGGAAATGTGATTGGGTGGGCTGTATTTTTTTGATGAATGGATAAAGAAGATGTGTGTGGTGGTATTCCACACATAGTGGAATATTCTTCAGCCATCAAAAAGAATGAAATCTTGCCATCTACAACCACATGCATGGAGCTAGAGTGTATTTTGCTAAGCGAAATATGTCAGAGAAAGACAAATACCATATGATTTCCTTCATGTGTGGGATTTAAGAAACAAAACACACGAACATATGGTGGGGGGAGGAAAGAGGAAAACCTAAGAGACTCTTAGAGAACATACTGAGCCGTGGGCCGGGCAGCAGGGGGTGGGCGCGGGAGGGGGTGGGCTAGATGGGTGATAGGTATTTAAGGAGGGCATTTGATACGATGAGCACTGGGTGTTGTATGTAAGTGATGAGTCACTGAATTCTCCTCAAACTGGTACTTCACTGAATGTTAACTAAATAGAATTTAAATAAAAATTTGAAATGGAAAAAAGATTTCCTGTATATTTGAGATGTTTTATTTCTTGAGCTGAATGGTAGACACCCAGATGTTCATTGTATAATTTGTTTAAACAGGTTGTATATATGAAATAATTTCATGGTTGAAAAAGTAATTTGCAGTTTTAGGGACTATTTGAATACTTAGAGGATAAAGCATACTGTTGAAATAAATCATAATGCCCCATATCATCAGACCTTGACAAAAAGAAGCTGGTTATACTTTCAAACAGTTTGGGATGGCTTTGTTCAGTGAAATAGGTCTTGGGTTATTGAATTTCAGTAAGACATTGGAAAATATTGTCTTTACCTAGGTGCCGTACCCATATCTCTGCAGATGAAAAAGCTGCTGAAAGGAGTCGAAAGGTATTTACAATATATTTAATGGCAATTACTCAATTAAATTGATAACATTTGTCATTACAGTTTGAAATAACATTCCTCTATTAGCTATGACTTTTCAGGGCTATTTTTGCCAGTGAGTTAATATAATTAGTTTTTTTTTTCCTTCATGAAATTATACTATTGAAGTGCTTTTTTTCCTTTAACTCTCTACTACTAAATAGAATATTTTAGAAGAATTAAAATGGGTACAGAGTTGATGAAAATTGATGTGCTTATTTGAAAACTAATCCTGTACTCTAATTGTATGATGTGAAGAAAGGCTGGCATTCTTTCTTGTCTAGGCTCATTATTTTCAGTGAATTAAAAAAATTATTCTCTGAATGATGGCTAGAAATTCAAGGAGCCACTAAATTATGAGCCCTCTTTGCTTTTCTTGATGTATTTGAGTGTATGATGTCATAGCACCATAATTAAGCAGGGTTTTTTATTTCTCCCCCCTTAGGCTAAGCGTGGAAGAGAGTTTAGTTGTTTAAACCATTTTCCACTTGTTTCTCTGTTTTTAGTTTAAGTAATATAAAACAGTGATGGATATGGGTTTGAGGTGGAGAGTGGTATTCAAGCCTTTTTAAAAACCACTGGGTGATTAGTTGGAGTTTGATCTCGTTTTGGGTGGTAAATATTTACATGATTGTAATCATTTTGCATATATCACCATATTTTTTCATTCATCCTAAAACATTTTTCAGATGTAAGAATTTTCATAATACCTTATATACACAAGCCACTGTTTGTACCCTAATTATTATGTGCAAATCATTTGTAGTGTCTTACTATAATTAAACTTGATAATTTTGTATCTTGTATCTTTTCTTTTCCCATACTATACTAATGCACAATGAGTTTGACTTTAGAAAGACAGTGATTTTATATAAGGGTTTTGGGATACTATCAGGGTTAGATAAAGGCCTCCAGTGTCAGAAAGCAGTTAGAAACATCAGAGGGAAAAAACACAAAACCAAGAAACTATAGAAGACAGGAAATATAATTATGACTCACTTTATGAGTAGTATACACATTGTCTTGATTTAAGGTAGCCATTGTTAATGATTTTTTCAAGCTTTCATAATCTGTGAATAAAGTGTGGAAGACTTACTAGCAGTCTTAAAAAGTGTGTAAGTACAAAGAACAAATTGGGAGGTGAAAGAGGGAAGAAGAAATGAAGGATACGAGTGCTGATGTCCTCATTTTACAGAGAGATACTGTGTTGATGAAATGGAAAATTGATGTAGAATTATATTCAGGTTGCAAAGGGATCAATAGAATAATTAGAATTATTGATGTGTCTATATTAGGAAGAATGTGAGATGTTAGAGTGGTGTGAGCTAAATCTTCTGCATAGCAGGAAGTAGATAGCATTGAAAATGGAGAAGTATAAACTGTATTACTGTTTTTTTACTTAGAATATAGATTTAAGAACCAGAAGAAGCCTCTAAAAGAATCAGGAAGTGGTTGTTTTTAAGGATCCAGGTACAAATGTAGGGAACAGTTGGTTTTCATTAAAAGCTCTTCAGATATTTATATTTAAAACCCTATGTGTATCTACTGTTATTTATTTATTTTTTTTAGTAAATAATTTTTAAAAAGTGAGAGTAAGAGAAAGAAGCCTAAGGCATACTAAGGGTCAAGAAAGACTTTCCTGAAGAAATGCAAAGTATGACTTTTAAATGTTAAGTTTTGGAGGATAGGATGGGAGGGATAGGTTCAGGCAACAGTTTGTAATGGCAGGGTGGTGTGAGATTGCGTAGTGCGTTTTGGAAACTTCTAGCACCTGAGAATGGTTGGAGAGAATGGTGATTTAGGAAGAGAAGCAGTTGATCCTTTACCAAATTGTAAAAGATCTTAAAGTATTTAAGAAAAAAATTTTAAACCTGTTTTCCACAAATTAAGATTTTGTTTAAAATTTTCATGTGATTTTTGTCACAAAAACAAGTTTTAATAATAAATTACACAGGTAAGTTCTTTTTAGATTTCCCTCTTCAAAGTCTTCCTCATTTGAGAACCACTGAAATCTGATCTGAGAAGTGATTTATACTGTTGGTTACCAGATTTGGAGGAAGGATAGACTGATAGTAAGATGACCAACATCAAGAGGTTATTAAAATAGACAGAAAACAGTAGATATCTAGTATGTATTATGGAACATTGCCATTTGGGATGGAGGTAGAGGGCCAGTACGAATGAGAGATAATCAGGTGGCAATCTTTTGTTTGGATAGGCTCCACCAATTCCTCTAAAACTGAAGCCTGATTACTGGAGTGAAAAACTACAAAAAGAAGCAGAAGCTTTTGCTTATTATCGCCGGACACACACTGCCAATGAGCGTCGCCGGCGTGGTGAAATGAGGGATCTCTTTGAGAAATTGAAGATCACATTGGGATTGCTTCATTCTTCCAAGGTTTCCAAAAGTCTCATTCTCACTAGGGTAAGTGTCATCTATAAATGACCCACAAATGACAATTTGACTAAGAGAATCTTCTAGACATACTATGAGAAAGAGAATCCTCACCCTAAGAAGAGATTGAAGTAGAGCTTGTATTTAACATTTGAATATGGACTAGTGAACACCCAACAAATCTCTTAAGGGGAAAAGCCCTAGTGTTGAGTCAGAGCTGTTTGTCATCTAAGGTCAAGTTCGTAACCAGCCAAACTAACTTCAGATTAAGTCAGAAACTCTGGTTAGCTCTACTTACCACAGTCTCTTTACGTTGGTGTTCTCCATAGCATTTAGGATGATTTATCACAGTGAAAAGCACAACATAAGAGCTATTTTAACATAGTTTTAACAGTTGCCTGTCATTTTATTTATTTATTTTTAGGTTTATTTATTTTAGAGAGAGAGCAAGTGAGCAAGAGCAAGCAGTGGGGAGGGATAGAGGGAGAGAGTGTCTTAAGCACACTCTGTGCTGAAGCCAGAGCCTGACATGGGGCTTGATCTTGGGACCCTGAGATCACAGCCTAACCTGAAACTAAGAGTCGAATAGGTTAACCGACTACGCCACTCAGGTGGCCTTAGAATAGTTTACCACGGTGAAAAGCACAACATAAGTGATATATAGATAGATACTTTTAATGTTTCTGGTTTTTAAAATATTTTATTTATTTGTGTGTGAGTGAGAGAGAGAGAGAGAGGACAAGCAGGCAGAAAGAGAAGCAGGTTCACTGCCGAGCAGGGAGCCTGCCCTGGAACCATGACTTGAGCAGAAGGCAGATGCTTAACTGACTGAGCCACCCAGGTGGTCCACATAGGTGATATTTTAACAGTTTTTAAAAACAGTCGCCAGTCATTTTAAAAGGAAATCTGAAATATCTACAATAATTTCATTTAAATTGCTTCTAAGTAGAAGTTGGAGGAGTACAAGGCAAGCACTCACGTCTGTCTAGAACATAATTACTGCAACCAGATTTTACTTACTAGGTGCTGATTTTAAAGTTGATTATTAAAATCTAAGCAAAGTAAAATGTTTTGTATCTCCTTGTAGTAGTAGAAACACCTATGAAACACTCAGTGATGCCCTTTGGAAATAGTCATGTTCCTTAGAAGTATAAGTATACTTATATAAGTATAGCCTCTTACAGTTTAACAAAGCAATTTCTGAAGCATTAAGAATTGTTTTAAATGACATAAAGTTTTCTATAAAGTATTAGATTAAAATTTTTTCATTGAGGAAATTGTGTAGGCCTTACCTGTTTATAGGAAAGAGCAAATGTATTCACATATTAATTTTTTGTTTTTAGGCATTCAGCGAAATTCAGGGACTAACAGATCAGGCAGACAAGTTGATAGGACAGAAAAATCTTCTGACTCGAAAACGGAATATTTTGATACGGAAAGTATCATCTCTTTCAGGTGAGATACGTGAATGATACCTGGTAAAAAGAGTATAATACAACATCTTTAGTGAGGAGAAATCCTCAGTAGACATTTCAGATACTTCTTAGTTTATGGCTTGGTTTCCAGAGCTAACATTAACCTTTTGAATGGGTGGGATGTTTCCTCTGGATTATAATTACTCTTGCCTTCCATAGTTTTGGGGAATATAGTTAAATCAACTGGATTTCAGTTGACTCTATTTCTCATTATTATATGGGGTCTTATAAAGAGTGACAATTTATTCCCTATCAACCTATAGGTAAGACAGAAGAAGTGGTCCTGAAGAAGCTGGAGTATATTTATGCAAAACAACAAGCACTAGAGGCACAAAAAAGAAAAAAGAAGATGGGATCAGATGAGTTTGATGTGTCTCCCAGAACTAGCAAACAGCAGGAAGGATCTGCATCATCTGTAGATCTTGGACAGATGTTTATAAATAACAGGAAGGGGAAACCTTTGATTCTTTCCAGAAAAAGAGACCAGGCCACAGGTAGGAGGGACATTTTTTGCCTTCCTTAATATAGGTGAATATCATTTAGTTCAGTGGAGTGAGTCATCTCTTATCTGTAATTTTAGATTTAATTAAATGAATTAAAGGTAGGTTTTATAAAAAGAATATTAACTACATTAGATTTTAGTTTCTAGCTTTACATACTCAAGGAAATCTTAAGAAGTTACCAGTTATGGTAACATGTAAGACCTGCTTTTGATAGCAGTCATGTTATCCTAATGTTTCAATGAACATTTTTTTTAAGCTGCCATCCTTTCATACTTTATATCCAAACTCTTGATTTCCCTGCAGTTTTTGTTCCTGAGTTGAATTGTCTTGCTGAGACAAATAAATTGGAATTTTTAAAAAGTTTAATTTTGTTGAGTTATACTCCATATTTATCCAATTGCTTATCAGTGAATTGCTATTAAGGAACAAAGTAAATTGGTTTTAAGTTACTGTTCTCTCCTATCTTGATTTTGGAAATGAGGCTATTCTGCTTTTATATTACTTGTTTATATCATTAAGAGAATAGTATTTCCTCTTTTACTCTTTGCGTTGCCCAGTGTGTGAACCAGGAAATCTAGGAAAGTACTGAGAGATACTAAAATGAAGTAGTTTTAACTTTGCTAAGAAAGAATTTTAATGATCAGTTAAGTCTAGTCCACCTCATTTCATAGATGGAAAAACAAAGTTTAAGGGCTAGAAACTTGTACTTTGATAGAGGTGTATAAGAAAAGCAAGCCTGAGGATAGAATTATGCTTGCCTTCATCTAGATTCACTATCAGGACTGTTGGAACCATTCCAATGAAAAAGTGGTTGCATGTTGAGTTTTCCTCAAGTAAGTTCTGTCCCTTGGGAGAATCAGTGTACAGGTAACCCATTATGCAGTGAAAAGTGGTTCAGGAAGTAAATTCCAAGTTGAGGGTCCCTAACCAAATTTGAAATTTACTTCTTGCCTTTTAAGTCGAGTGCGGTTTTAGGGATATCTCCTAGACTCCTAGGTTATATTAGCGTAATTGAAGATCTTTTATCCTTAACTTATTTCTGATTTTCCTTAACAGAAAATACCTCACCCTCTAACACTCCACACACCTCTGCTAACATCGTGATGACTCCGCAAGGGCAGTTGCTCACCTTGAAGGGTCCTTTATTCTCAGGACCAGTGGTAACTGTTTCTCCTGCTCTCTTGGAAGCGGATCTGAAGCCTCAAGTTGCCACCAGTGCTGTGGCTCAATCAGGTATGTTGTAAGTGTTGTCTTCTTTGGGTAGGGAGAAAGAGTTACCCCTGGTTCAAAAAAACAAAAAAACAAAAAAACACTAACGGCAAACAAAAGGAGTTACCCTGGTACCATTGTGACAGAGAAAGCTTTTGAATGTGTTCTGTAATGATAAAGATCTCTTATATTTGCATTTTCCTTGGAAAGAATTGACCCTCTTTTTATAACATGTTTGGCTCTATTGATTTCTTTTTTTTAAACTTGGGATTGGGAACTGTTTTGTGATTTTTAGTTATTTCTAAGTAGGAAAAACATGAAAAGATAAAGTAAAAGGAAGATGAAGAGTCATTGTTTTAGGTTTTGGTGTTGATAAATATTTATTATTTTGTGTTACAATCTGAGATGGTGCACTTCTACTTTAGTAGCCTGATTCAGTTTGAGCACCACTCCCTTTGGGGGATAAGGAGTAGAATTGAAAAGGAAGTCTCAGTTTGATGACTTAGGTTCTAGGCACCTAAATTTCTATTAAGGTAAAAGGGTATCTTAACTGGTAAGTTACCAGTACTAGTAACTGCTAAACCCTTTCTGGAGGGGTCATCTTTTGTTTTACAGTCCTGCCTCTAGGGCTTCATTTTACCCTCAGAGTAGCAGTTAATTGGGTGAACAGAATCAAGATACAAGTTTGCCTCAGAATAAAAAAATAAACTGGGGAGCATTTCTATAAAATAATTAAATAAGACTTTAAACACTGTTAAAGAATCCTTTGGTTAGATTTTACCTGTTTTCTTGTTAAGCTAGGTTCATAATTTGAAGAGCTAATATTTCCTTTCATCTTCTTATAAAAGTAAACTGGTGAGGGACACCAGGGTGGCTCAGTCACTTAAGTGTCTGCCTTCGACTCAGGTCATGATCCCAGGGTCCTGATACTGAGCCCTGCATTGCATCGGGCTCCCTGGAGCCTGCTTTTCTCTCTCCCCCTGCCTGCCGTTCATCCTGAGTGCGCGCTCTCTCTCTCTAAAATAATAAAATGTTAAAAAAAAAAAAATTTAAAAAGTAAAAAAGTAAACTGGCGAATTTTGACTACTAAATCTCTCAGAACTCTGGTCATTGGGTATGAATGAGAGAGGGATGCTTACCACTGTAGATCTAAATGAATTTTTTTTTCCCTCCCCCAGAAAATGACGACTTATTTATGATGCCAAGAATTGTAAATGTGACATCATTGGCCACAGAGGGAGGTTTGGTAGATATGGGTGGCAGCAAATATTCTCATGAAGTTCCTGATGGCAAGCCATCTGACCACCTGAAAAGTACTATCAGGAATGAAGATAACTCCTTTGAAGGTTCGGGTAGAATCTCTTCCAGAAGCAACCATAGAGAAGGCAGAATGGCATTGGGTCCAACACCAGTTTTTCTGGCAAATAAAGATTCTGGTTTTCCACAGATAGTTGATGTTTCCAGTATGCAAGAAGCACAAGAGTTCTTACCCAAAAAGATTTCTGGTGAAATGAGAGGTATTCAGTATAAATGGAAAGAGTGTGAATCTAGACGGGAGAAACCGAAGCCAAAGGAGTCTACGTTTCATAAATTGAAGATGAAAGATCTCAAAGACTCAAGTATAGAGATGGAACTGAGAAAGGTAGCATCTGCCATAGAGGAAGCAGCGCTGGATCCCAGTGAACTGCTAACTAACATGGAAGATGAGGATGATACTGATGAGACACTGACTTCTTTGCTCAATGAGATTGCCTTTCTTAATCAGCAGCTAAATGATGACTCTGTTAGCCTGGCTGAACTGCCCAGCTCTGTGGATACGGAGTTCACAGGGGATGCTCGACGGGCTTTTATCAGTAAGCTTCCTCCTGGGAACCGAGCAACTTTCCAGGTTGGCCACTTGGGAACTGGTTTGAAAGAGTTACCTGATGTACAAGGGGAGAGTGACTCTGTCAGTCCTCTCCTCTTGCACTTGGAAGATGATGACTTTTCTGAGAATGAGAAACAACTTGTTGAACCAGCCTCTGAGCCAGATGTCCTTAAGATTGTTATTGACTCTGAGATAAAGGATTCCCTCCTTCCCCACAGGAAAGCCAGTGATGGAGGGAAGAGTACTTCTGGTGTCCCTGCAGAGCCTGAAAGTGTGTCCTCGCCTCCTGTCCTACACATGAAGGCTGGCCTAGAAAACAGCAGCACCACAGATACTTTGTGGAGGCCTATGCCAAAGTTGGCACCTCTAGGTTTAAAAGTAGCTAATCCCTCTAGTGATGCAGATGGTCAGAGTCTCAAAGTGATGCCTTGTTTGGCACCTGTAGCTGCCAAAGTTGGATCAGTTGGACACAAAATGAACTTAACAGGGAATGACCAGGAATGCCGGGAGAGCAAGGTGATGCCTACACTGGCACCTGTTGTGGCCAAATTGGGCAACTCTGGGGCCTCACCAAGTTCTGCAGGGAAATGAACTTACTTGTCCTCAGGCAGAAGCCAGGCTATGAGGGAAACCTCCTTTCTCTATAGGCATCTTTGTGTCATGGAACTGTGATCCTTGACTTTGATGCGGTGGATGGATGGTAGAGAAAGAGGGGTAGGGTGCTGACCTCGGTATTAGAAATAACTACTATGAAATTCTGATCATGTTAAAATGTGTTACCTCACTTGTGGTGCTGGGTCTCCTCATCCTCTCTAAGAAGATGTGATCCATTACTGAACACGAGGTGCCCCTCTTACCTAAGGAATTCATAACAAGACTCTAGGTCCATAGTGGTTCCTAGTTCTTCCCTCCCAGATTAAAAGCTGCTTGAGACTTTGGAGTTGCTATGGGCTGAACTGTAGTGGATAGCTGTTGTTTTAAGTGGTTTAAGTCTGAAATCCAAGGAATGTGATGCACTTGTGCAAAGGGATCCAGAAGAGATAGTTTTTAGTTGGTGTTTTAAGAGTAGTGGGAGAGAGGATGGGTACCATGGAATACCAAAGTGAAACACTTTGTGTCATTCAGCAAAATTTTCTCTTCTTTTTCCCAAGTAGCTTCCATTCCCTTATTTTTTCAATCAGAATTATAAATCCAAGCCTTCTGGTAAAGTAGGAATGCTTTTAACTTTTAATACTAAGGTGATTATTTTGAGATGTTAAGGAAAATACTAGTTCTCCCTTACTGTCTGGGTGTTGAAAAGACATTTCATAGTACCAGGGATTTCTACCTGGAATATATATTTTGGAGATAGGCATAGAGGGAGCCCTCCCCTTTTCACAAATCACATCACTCGAAAGACAGCTAAAATGAAAAGCATTCCCTGCCCAGACCAGAGACAGTGGCCAAAACAAAAAATTGTGGGGCTGGATGTTTCCCAAATCAAACCAGCCTCCTGGTGCTTGAAGGTTTCATTCATTACCTGCACAGGATGTAAAGAAAAGGAAAGTCACAGTAGGCACTCTTTACCAGGGAAATGAGGCAGTATTTGAATCACGAGATATATTTTTTATTATCTGCTACCATGGATTCAATGATCTGTAGAGCTTTTTCACTCATTAGCTGTCAGGGTATGAAGGACTGACAGCCTGTAAAGATAAAGATATTTATATTTTTGTATAGTTGTTTTCATAGATTTCTCAAAGGCTGAAGTTTTCAACCTAGAAGATGAGATTTGTATTGAGTATAGAAATGACGTTTCCTATCTAGTTTGTAAATAATCATGGTGCACTTGAGGGGTCTCTTGGAAACTCCTGGGGGCAAGAATCACTATTCTGAAAATGTATAGATTGGGATTTAGCTGCTGCATTTTGCCTTTCTTAAATAATTATATTTTGGAATGTAACCCCTGTTCTGTCTTCATTGACAGGATTTGCTTGTGTTGTGAAACACTAACACAAGAGCTTCCAGTGCCTGGGCTGTGCCTAGGTGATGCTGTTTCTTCTGCATCCCCCCACCCCTTGCCTTCTTTATGCCAAATCCCACTCAGCATATCTTCAGACATAGTTTGTGAGACCAGCTTTGGAATGGTTCTAGCCAGTGAATTAGTACTAACATGGTTGGTTCCCTTTCTCGTAACTCTGGTAATCAGCAGATTGAAAAAGCGTGGAAAATTTCCTCCGCAAATTACAGTGAGAGCAAATTCATTGTTGGTTTTGTGCTACTTGCCTTTCTAGATCTGCTTATCAGCATTCAACCTTCCCTCCTTTAAAGGTTCTTGAAGAAGCTTGAAGTAGGTAATGAGTGCCCCTCAGCTTCTCATTATCCCTCCCACTCCTCTTCACCCAGCAGATTTCATTCAATGCCTTAGCCAAGGAGTCCAGCGCCTGTCTCCCCTGCTAATAATTGTCCTTGGAGATCTTAGTACTTTAATCCAGGTATCGCAGTTTCCCATTATTAACTTGCTTGTCTCATCCTCACATTTCCTCCTGACTTCCCAAGGCTCTTGTTACGGCTTTTGAGGGTCAGCCAAGGAGAAGGCAAGTGAGTTGAATAATCCTCAGGAAAAGAAGGACCATTCTGCTTCTGAACACTGTTTCCTTTTTTAGAAGAAAATAGATAAACAGGTAATAATCAGTTCTTGATGGGAAGATAGTTGACATGAGAGATGTACAAAGATGGAAATGAGAGATGATTCCACGTGTTTAAGGAAGGCTGCAGATGTCTTTACAAACTCTCAAGATAATGGCGTTTTCAAGACCTCTTAGAACTACTAAGTTGTGAGGGCTAATTTGGAGGGCTTGGTCTTTACAATAGTCCTGCAGTCTTGACAGAAATCTCAAATCTCCAAAAACTCCTACCCTTTAACCTTACCCCAGGAGAAACTGATCTATGAAAATGACATTTATGATTATGAAAGATGTAGTTGAGTGAGAGGAGTTGAGGAATTGGGAGGATAGTGAGCTCTCACCCTAACACTATAAGAAGCATGATCTCAGTAGACCAATAATTCGCCTTTTTATACATCTGTAAATAAATGGAATGTTTTTAAGAATATAATTATGTCAGATTTAGCCTTTTCTTTTATATATTAAATATATATCTTTCCTTTTCTGCTTTTGAAAAATGACTTATTTTTTTAGAAACATAAGTTTGGTGAGTGGAAGGCAGAATGTATAAACTTGAAACAAATCAGATATAATAATTAAAGCAGGATTTGTTGGGAGGTTTGTGCTGAGTTGGAGCAGAGAAATTTAATGCCCTGAGTCTATGAGAGAGGTGCCACTGAAGTAGTTTTATCATAGGAATTCCTTGCTGTTTTCAAAGTGTCTGATACGCCGTTTGGGGGAGATTTTTGCTAATTGTAGCATGTTTTACATGGAGACTTCAAAATTTTACACAAATTGACGGCAAGTGTTTGTCTCAAGAAGTTTAGAGTGAAGAAAGGCTAGCCTTGTAATATTAATGTGTGCAAGGTATACCAGTTACCTTAGAGAATAAGGAGACAGTCTGAGGGGCTAAGGACAATAAATGTTCTTGAAGCAAAGTACATGTTTACTAACTAGTATCAGGATTTATAAAAAGTTTTGTTAAAGGGGTCCTTCAGACATTGAGACGAAGATAACATAAAATCTGTGTAGTATGTATTATAAACTTCATGCAAATTACTTTGGGTAAATGTATAATAAATTCAGGGTTTTTCCCCCTAGAACTATGAAGGAAATACCTGGCAGGCCCTTCTGTAACAAGTTTGAAAATGTTTTGAACACAGATGAAAAGCAGATAATCCATATATAATTTGGGGCAGTGTTTAGTAGTAGTTTTTTTTTTCCTCTCTCTCTCTCTCTCTCTCAATTATATTGGTTAAGATAATTGAATGGGATCAGGTGAATAGAGAGGTAAATGCACTTTGAAGATGGGTCTGAAAAACGGTGATAACCCTTGTTCCTCCCACCCAGATTAAAAAACAATGCACAGAGTAGAGTAGGCAGCACCTTTTCAGGTACTTTCATGGAGAATGATGGATAACCAAGAATCTCAATACCTTTCTTGCACATAATTGTTGATTTCAAAGAAAATGCTTGTGAGGGCATCAAATCTTCATGTTATTGTATTATCTCTAATGAAATTTTACATGAACACGAATGGCTGGATACAGAGAAAATTAAAGCTGAGGTACACAGACTCTCACTACCATTTGGAGAAAAAGATCAGTCAAAAATAAATGCATTTTCAAAACTAAGGGGAATAATTTGATATAAATTCTGAACTGAGGCATGTTTGTAGTATATTAAGTATGCTTTAACTGCTCTACAGAGGTACATAAGCATTGAGTAATGGTGTGATGGAGGCGTATGTGGAGGGTGAGAAGGCTGAACCATGGAATGAGTTGGGTATTTTGAGACAAATCTAAGCTCTACTAAATTTCTTAAATCATTGCAAACTGCTGTTAGAAGAGATTATGTTAAATAGGAAAGCAGTCTTGGAAGCATTGTTTTGAGATCCATCCTGTTTCCAACTGCAGGCATTGATCTCAGCTGTCCCACAGTGCCTTGCATGTGAAGGTGCTCAATAAATATTTGAACTGATGAGCAAATGTTTACTCCAGCCTATTAGTTTTCTAGGATCTTAGAATTGCACCTTTTTGCATGTTAAGCCTAGAGTGAATTTAAAAATCTGGTCTAATGAACATAGTGCAAAATTGTATGCATCTATTCCTAGACATCTACATTTTAGAATATGACAACCATGTATGTTTAGGACATACACAGGCAGAATAAAAAGTGAAATAGTGTATGGTTGGTGAAATACTTACATAAGGGTCAACTGCATTTGCAGGGTGGGTTGGCAATTAGTTTGGAGAAAAGGGAATAGCGCTTTTATTCACACTAGACCTAGGATTACTGTTTTCTGAGGAAATAATTCATGAAGCGTGGGAACAGCCTATAGCCTATTCCCATATTGAAAAGCTGCATGGTAATCTAGACAATAAATGGATTAAATGGTGAAGAATTAAAAATACATGGTTTTTGTTGACCTTAGACTGGAAGTACACAGATTCTAGACTTAGAATATCTCATTACACTGTTCTCAGTTTTTCAGCCAGATCATTTTAGACAATGAAAGGAGCTTGGATTTGCCTCTACAACTTCAGATGAGAGTAATTTGGGGAACACTTTCTCTAAGGGGATAAACCAGGCTAACTCTGGACAGGAAATGACCAATGACACTTTGTAAACCTATTCGTCTGGCCACAAGTGATGTGAGAAAACCACTAGAGGACACAAAAATGTGGAGAGATTTAGGGACAACCGAGGGTGGAGGTGGGCAGTTGCTGGGGCATGTAGCACACAAGCAAGGACGGCAGGTGGCACCATTTACTAGTGTTACATTTGCTTCCTTCTCCCCCCCTATCCCCTGCCCCCAGTAGAGATAAAATAGTGGCAAGGAATTGAAGGAACCAACTTTCCATTGAATACTCTGGCTGACCCTTGCCTCCTTCCTCAGATTTGAGAAATAAATGGAAAATCCCATTTTATGTTCCATTATGTCTGCAGTGTGTGGTGGAAGAGAAGGAAGCCTCATGCCTCTCCTAGCTTTTGCCAGTTGGTTGTCTAGGAGATGACTTTCCTGATTTTTGTTTCAACTTGTGGGCTTTGCAGATATTGTTTTTAATACATGGCTATAATACACCCAAGTACATACCTCTTTTGCTAAGGCGTCATCTCCCCCAGGGGTTCGAAAGATTTGGATAGGGTGAGACAAGATACATAGCAGTGTACAATTCGTCTGGGGCCCAAGTCTTTTGGCTTATGTTAACCTTTTCATAGGCCATCTTGAAGTAATAATGACGCCAGAGGGCTTCTAGAAAACAAACAGGCTGAGACACCAAAGTAATATGTAAAGAGTATTTCTGTGCGAGCGCTTCATTCCTCACCCCCACAATGAGCTAGAAAGTTTAGACTATACCACTAAATCTAGTGAACGCAAGCTTGACGGTGACCTCGCCAAAGTAACGATACTAGGGAAAACAGTAAATTTTGAAAGAAAACAGGGTAAAAATCTGGATCAACAAAGCCCTTGTCAACTAGGTGAGAGAGTGCGGTGGGATATTGGAGCCTAAAGAAAACAAATGCATCTCAGGAGCATTCACTTACTTCACACAGCTAAAGCTCAGTTCGTGGCTATCATTTCCTGCCGCTTTTCGATCATGGCCAATCAGGTTGCCCCCAGTTCAAAACACTTATTACCGATCTAAAGAGGGGAGTTCTTTCACGTAGGTCAAAGCGCCGGGGGAGGCGGCGAGCAGAAACGATTCTAACCGCTTTAAATTCCAGCGCTTGGGGTCGATGGGCGCAGAGCCTTGTAGCTGTACCTCAACCTTGTAATCGTAAGCTAGGAGTTAGTTTAGGCTAAGGTCCCCCGGGCCTATCAAATGCCAACCGCTGCACCCTGGGGGCGTGGTTACCGTCTTGCTGGAGCTCTGGGAAGAGCACTTCTCCGGAGGACCGGGCCTCGGAATACCATAAAAGGCTGGTTCTCTCAATTCTGAAGCCATGTTCTGGTGACCTTCCTTTAGGAGCGCTCCCCGCGACTGCACTGTTTGAAACCCTTAGTTTTCGAGTCCTATCTCCGCTTCCTAGGCCCTTTCATTGGCTCCGCCCCCATAAGCCTTACTGGTCCACTCTCAGAACGCCCTCCTGGTTACAGACCGCACCCACTCGCCTCGGCTCCGCCTCACCAGCCGGTAGCTTGGCCCAGGCGGTAGTTCGCGTTTTGAGCCGCTCGTGCCACCATAGCTGCTGCTGCCGCTCCTGCTGCGGAGCGAAATCGCCGAGCGCGATGCCTGAGGGCGCTGTGAGCGGGGTGCCCCCGGTGCCCTGGGGCTGGTGAGGCTGAGCCCGAGCGGGGGCGCTGGCGAGTTGCTGGGGCTGCTGAGGGAGGTGAAAGAGTAGGGTCCAGGGCCCCTGCTGAGGGCGGAGAGCGAGCTCCCGAGGGTCGGGGGTGGGGGAGGGAGGCTCCCGTGGCAGAACGGGTTGCCGGGCCACTGCGAACCCCGCCGCGCCGAGTGTCCCTGCGGCCGCCAGCTCAGGTGTCCAAGCCCTGGGCGGACTCCTCGGTGGCCTCGGCGGCCTCCTTCTTTAGACACTGCAGTTGCCATGGAAACAGTTGGGAATTAACGGGGAGCAGACCAACCACAAGCCCTACTAGGGCCAATCCCATCCCTCTGGCTGAATGCCTCTGGCAGGCGTGGGCCTGGTATTTCTTTGCAGCTCAGGCCTTTTTTCCCCCTCTTTTTCATGGGTTTGTCCTTCAGACGTAAGAAACCGCGCAGGGCTTGAAGGCAGGTGTGAGGAGCAGGGAGAGGGTAATGCCTAGAGATAAGAGCTGCAGACACGGCTAGGCAGAAGGTAAGGTGGCCTCTGCCATCTCAGGTCAGTGGGAGGGCATACTGGAAGGACCTGTGGAGTGGGAAGGCAGTGCCGCTTTTGAGACAAGTTCCAAGATTGGGCCAGGATCTGTCCCCGGGGGCTCCTCATCATGATGGCTGTGGAAGGGTCAACCATTACCAGCCGAATCAAGAACCTGCTGCGATCCCCATCCATCAAATTACGCAGGAGTAAGGCAGGAAACCGGCGGGAGGATCTCAGCTCCAAGGTGAGTCCTAGGGACGCCTGGGTGGCTCAGTTGGTTGGACGACTGCCTTCGGCTCAGGTCGTGATCCCGGAGGCCTGGGATCGAGTCCCGCATCGGGCTCCCAGCTCCGCGGGGAGTCTGCTTCTCTCTCTGACCTTCTCCTCGCTCATGATCTCTCTCACTGTCTCTCTCTCAAATAAATAAATAGAATCTTTAAAAAAAAAAAACAAAACCAAAAAAACCACACACACACAAAAAAAACAAGGTGAGTCCTAGTATTGGGAGGCTCCCCTTTCCAATCGTCCCATCTTCTCTTCCATGTTCCTCTTTCGCCTTCCTCTTTTCTTGGGAGAGAGGAGAACCAAAAGTTCCTGTTGGCTCTAAAGGATCAAGTGTGCCCATCTCTGCCCCTCAAGGAAGCAATGATTTCATTTTAGGTTAAAGGAAAAAGAGGAGCAGGAGTGGGCATGCGGAGATTTCTCTGTGAAAAGGAATAAGAGAAAAGCAAGCCGGGTTCACTTGTAACTTCGCTACAAACTAAGACTGTGCTTGGGGAAGCCAGTTCATAAGTGATGACTCAGCCCATTTTGGATAAAGTAGTGGGACCACATACCCTGTGAAGGGCTAAATTGTGACTAAGGTAGCTGCAGGTGTTAGTGTCATGGCTGAGGTTATGCAAGACAGTAGTAGCAGAAAGAACACCTAGTTTGAGGAATTGGCTTGCTAAGTGCTTTTGCCTGGGGTCAAAACAAATTTGTCTCTTCAAGCAGCCTAAATTAATTTAACTGGAGCCTCTTGTCTGCCTAGGAATGATAACATGCAAGGAGCCAGGTATCTGCCAGCAAAACAGTTCTCCTGGTTTATCCTTGAACCAATATTGCCTGTCTTACTCATTCTTTGCCTAGCGCTGTTACACACACCTCCCAACCCAACACTCCAGAAGTTGCTTAGAGGCCAGTCCTTTTTCATCCCCTCACTTGTCTAGGTGTAGGTCCTTATGTTTTCTTCAACTTCGTTGAGCCCCCACAACTTTGGGATTAGAAAAGTAGACCAAATTTATTTAATCCCTGAAGGAACCTAGGGCTTTGTTCCCATAGAATCAGGTTAGACTTTGTGTCATATTAGCAGCCAATAAACACAGTAGCCTTGTGCAGTACAGGATTGCTACAGGGAGAGGCATTGGAAACAGCAGCATTTTATTGCCTTGCCTGTATCTCTTCAGAGGATGAGTAGGGCCAATGAGGAATAATTTAGAGTGCTCATATACAAGATGGAAGGATTCCGAAAAGGCTTAGTTCAGATCTCTGTCCTTTAACAGAACCTTACTTCAGTGTGGTCCGAAGGAGAATAGCCTTCCTGTATATTTCAGCAGAGTTCATATTGAATTGAAATTAGCCACAAGGTTTCATGGCAGTGGAGTTGGTGACCTTTCTAAGGACTCTAATAGGAATTCACTGTTCATATTCTCCAGAAGTAGGAGAGTGAGCCTGGAACTTAGAAACTGACTTAGATTTGACTGTCTTCGCTCATTTACTGTGTTGGATCATTCTTAGTACTGCAAGCTCTGTTATTCTTGTCTGGTAACTTGACAGTGACTACTGCTATTGGAGCAATCTTCTCATATGTTTTGGCCTCTTTTTCTGACCAAGAATGCTATAGGTAGTAGAAATGTGTAATGGGAGTTTATTCTTCAGTGTTAATACTATAATTTTGGAATGGAATTCAGAAGGTACAGTTGCTATTCTTTAAAACTTCCCATATCACTCATCATTAAAGGACTCAACAAATGTTTATTCTGTGCCTGTTATGTATGGAATCAGTGACGAATAAAACATCCTTGCCATCAAAGAGCTTGTGGCTAGTCAAATATAGAAACAAATAATTACAACTTGGTATGTTTAATTGCTGTCCTAGAAATAAGCATAAAGGTCTTAAGGGCAACACATGGGAGGGAACCTAAGTCAGCTTAGGGGAATTAGGAAAGACTTCACAGAGGTGGGGATGCTTGAACTGTGAGTCCTGAGACAAGAGAAGAGGAGAAGTTCTCTAGGAAAACAGTGAAAAAGAGTATCCCTCTGGCATCACCATTAAACATCCCTGTTTTCAAATAGAAATTCAGTGTTTCAGACTGCTTTAAATGGCTTTGTTTGTCCTAGAGCTGAGAATGAAGGAAATACTTAGCTGAAGTTGAATGACCCTTGAGTAGTCTGACAGAACAAGAGTGCTGGTGTCTATCTTTAGCACCCAAAAGTAGTTGCTGGTTTTGTGTGCCCAGGACCCTACAGATGCCCGACCCCCCACACTCATTGAACTCTTGACTTAAGATGATTCTAAAAGCCTATCCTGTAGTAATCCACATAGGACCTGATGTATAAAGCTTTGTGAGCTGCTCTACTATGTGGTGGCTGTGGGTCATCATGGTAACAATCAGAAAGCTTGTGATTCACGGATAACTAATGCTGAAATAAAATTTGACGACCAAAAGACATATGCCTTTGAGGTTGGGGGGGGCAAAGAAGGAAGTGACAGAGGGCCTTTGTGCAGCTTTACCTCAGATGGCCTGCTGCTTGGAGTCATACTATTCCTCCTGTCTAAAGCAGCCTTTTTATCAAATTCTCCCCTTACTTTAAAAAAAAAAAAAGATTTTATTTATTTT